AGTGTGTTACCAACCGTTTCTTTTGTAACTGTGGTCCCAGCTGCCTTCAGTTGACTCATCAGTTCCCCCCTTGTGGTTTTGGGATGATTCCTCACCGTTTGCATGATCAGGGACACCCCACCAGGCGAGATCTTGTGTGGAGGCCCAGACCGAGGGAGGTTGGCGGTGGTGTGGTGCTTCTTCCATTTCTGCACCAGGTGTCTTTTATACAGGTAACGAGGTGAGGCAGCCGTATTTGATGTAGATAAATGGTTGGGATTGGGGCTGTGTCTTAAAGAAAGACTAACTGGTTTGTAGGAGCCAGAATACTTGCTGTTTGTCCAGGGGGTCATATACTTGTTTTTCCTCATCAGATGGTTATCAATTTTTATAAATTCATATGATGTGAATTTCTGGAATTTTCTTTGGGATTCTGTCTTTCACTGTTAGAATGTACATATGATTAAAATTGTAGATTGTTGCATTCTTTGTAAGAGGGCAAACCTGCATAATCAGCAAGGGGTGAAATACTTATTTCCCCCACTGTATAAGCCAATCACAAGAAAGTACTCCACGTGTTATAACTTACCCCAGATTCCACATCCTCCCCTCTGCTTGCATGAGTTGTGCTGTTCGTGTGTGAATCTTGTTCTTTGTGTGTGCAGATTTTTTTTTGTGCTTGCATGAATCGTGCTGAGTGTGTGTGGATCTTGTCCTATGCATGTATGAATCACATACAGTATGTGTATTTGTGACAACTGAGACCGATCTAGTTAGTGCCGTCTGGAGAAATGGCTCAAGATTCCAGTAAACATTTTTTAAAACCTTTTTGAAGGACATAAGTAATACCCTAAAATAGTCGCATATTTCATGATATTGGACTACAAGTCTGTAATAAAGTTTGAATTAAATTTTAAAGCCAGGTCAACCAATTAAATGAATGCAAACTAGATTTTATTTTACTTTGATTGAGTGGGGAGGAAGTTATGTGTTTTAGACTGTGGTTGTATACAACTAGTTCTCACTGTTTACCATTTTTTAAATTACATCACCCTGAGTTTTGGGTACAGAAAATATTCATTTGGTCGAAATTAAACCTTAATTTTGTACGGCGTATACATCTTTTATATATTGTCTTTTTTTTTTTTTTGCTTCATTCTTGGATGCTGTCTGAAATGTAAGTTTCACCTTGATAGACCACATAAAGTCTGAAGAAGCACTCATAAAATCTAAGAAAATAAAAATGAAAAATAAGATGAAATCACCTAAGCTGAAAGATGTTCTGTTTGCCCCCTTCAGCGTCTGCTCTGGGTTTAAATGTTTCAGCTCCTGTGTCAGAGGATAATATAACTCTGCTGGTAAGTGACCAACTGCACAAAAAATGACATTTCTAACCCTTTTTGTTGACCTTTTCTCATTTATGAAAACAAAAATTGACTATTTTTTTGTCTCATATATTTTGTGTTATTTTGATCTTTGAAAAGTAAACAGTCTCAGAAATTTGAGAAGCAACTTGGAAGTTAAAATGATGTTTTTTACTTGCAGCAATGATGGAAGAAAATTCTCTCCATACGTCTTTGGTTTTTCATGCAGTTAAAATGGTCTTTTGCAGCTGGAAAATGTTTAAAGTGGCCCAATTAGTCTTTTTGCTAAGCAAAGGAAATGTGTTGGTAGCTTGTAAGAAGTGCAGCAACAGCTTTTTATCAAACTTTGAAACATATCTTAAAATAAAAAACTTAAACCCCTCAATGGAGTCTACTTTTTGGCATAATAAAACCCCTCAATAAAAAATATACTGTGCATGGAAAAAGCTACAATCCTCTATATGATATTGGTTGTGGAAGTTAGGATACGTTTTGAACCATTATAGAGAGATCCGCCTTAAAATCGATTGAAATTTGACTGACAGTTATATTGAAGGTTATTTTCATTTTGAAAAGTCATTCTGAAAAAGAAAAACCAAAGGAGGAACCGTACACCTGGGTTTTTGTTCTGCACTATGTTTTCTTCTGTTATCGCCTGTTTTTTTTTTCTTTCTTCTGTCTTCTGTTTGCCTTCTTTCCCGATCCACTGCCCTCCCTTTGGTTTCCTCTTAATCCCTCCTCCTACCTGTCCTTTGCTCCTGCTCTCCTTTTCCACTCCTAGTTTAACTTGACAGACCTGGATTGGAGTCAGCTAAGTAAGAAAGAGTGTGTGAAGTATGGTGGTGCATTGGTGGGAGGATCCTGTAAGTATGTTCCCGACCTGGCCCTAATGTCCTTCATCCTCTTCATCGGCACCTACTCTATGACTGTTTCTTTGAAAAAGTTCAAGTTCAGCCGCTACTTCCCGACAAAGGTAAGGCCTCTTTCATGTGACGCAGTTTGTAGAAAATTCCCCTGTTTTTCCCCATCCTGATGGAATCCCTTCAGTCCACCTAATCTACAGCATGAGAAATGCAGCTATCCTAAAAGCATCTTAGTTGTTTGGTTTGTAGAATAGAGCTTGTGGTTTTCCTCCAATGTGTTTGAATATTATCTTCATGTTCTTTTACCTTAATCTGAGCCTAAAAATCCACAATTTGAAGCAACAGCCAGTGTTTACCAGCTTCTGAAGTGACATTGCAAAGGAAAAATATATAGGTGTGCAGACTTATGATAAAGTCAAGCAGAAGTGATATTTATGGAAGAATCTAAAAACATAGACAATCCTCTTCAATATCATGATTTTCTCATTTAAATCAGATTTCACGAATTATCGGACCAGGGTCTGGATCCAGACCCAACCAGACTTAAAACATTTATAAATTACTGCATGTTGTCCGACAACAGTGTCTAAACGTCACTTGCGCCGCTTCTCCTGTTAATACGGTAAAGCCCTCC